ATATAGACATGTATATGCTCACACACACACACACACACATACACACACACACACACACACATATATATATATATATATGACCATGCGACTTAAATAAACATGAAATTAAAAATTTCAATGTCTTTCTGCGCACCGAAACTCGAAGCATAAAAACCCATGTACAAAGGTAGTAGAAGCGAGCATGCGATTGAAACCACCTCTGCTTAAATCAAAGCGCGTGCTAGCAGCCAAATTCGACCATCGTTATTCCGTACAACATTTACCTTCCAGTAACTTTACGCTTGGCTTTGTATACGAGACCGTACGTTCCCTCGCCAATGACCCAATTCTTATAGTCGAAGTGTGCGTCGACTGTTTCTCGAAGGGCGTGTTTGCGAGTCTTGAAGCCTTTGTCCAGACCCACATACTTACTGTTATTCAACATACTGGCACTTACACACACGTCGATAGTTCGCGCAGTATGTATGTCTTGAATATCTATACACTTTTTGTATACAAGTAGATGCTAAAGGGTTATATTGTTGTTAGTTTCAACCAGGTTTGGTGCAACTGCATATACTATAAATACAGCAAAATTAGACTCGACGCAAAAGATACGTCGTCTGGTGTGGTACATTTCAGCAGCGACACTCTCTCTAGAAGTCTACGAGCGAGAAAAGTATTTATGAATGTACTCGTATATTGAGCAATGTTATTATCAATTTGTGAGGTATGTATGTATTGTAATAAGTAAATAATGTTAATGCATGGTGCCGTGGTATCATAATTCATAGCCAAGTACAGACCATTTATTATTGTAAGTACAAATGTATGTAATAAATATTTATGTATGTACTGCTCGTCACTACATATATGATGATGTCATGAAGTGACTGACGACGTCACACTTCACAGTACATTTTCTTATTTTATATTTTTATTGTAAAAAAAACATTGTTGAACGAATTATAAAATTTAAAAAAATATAAAATTAGACACAAATACCAGCCTCGATTATAAATATATAGATCACACGGGATATGAATGGCGTGTCGTATACTAGTTCACATATGTTAAAGACGACGCACATATGCGAGGGCGTATGCACGAGCTCAAGCTTAAAAAAATTCGTTAAGAAGTTGGCTGGTATTGGTAAAACGTTGATACAAATCCATGTACAAATCTGAATAGAAATATGCTCGATTTACCTATAGTTGGACTGGCTTCGTCAAGGATAAAGTGAGTTTTCTTTTATAAAGATACTCTAATTTGTTGGATTCTAATATATCAGAAATTTTAAGATGGGAATTTGGTGCCAACTTAATGTATTTGGATGCAGCTATGTGATCGATCGTGAGTTATAATATCCGGATTGCACAATGGCTTGTTTTCTTTTCATCGATTCCCGACCACTACAAGACCGAGCAGCTTGGGTTTCGCTTGATTCTGGTATTAGTATAATATAGAAAAATCGTTTGGTATCAGGTTCCACAGGTTCGACGTGCTGACCGCACTATTGAATATCGAAAGAAAAAGAAGAAGGAATAATATACACGCGAACCAGCTTCGTATTTTGGAGTTATTTTTTTAAATTATATTTAGTTTTAAAAACAAGTCGACACACAATGAAGCATTACTGAAAAGGTTATTGAGAGTAAATACACTTTTATCAGCACCGAAAGAACTCTACAGTCTTTGTGCCTTTGCCTTATTTGGGGATACCCGTCACAACAAACATAACTTACACTCATTGACGCTTCGTCGCGAGGGATATATCGTATTTGTGGTGTCTGATGCTTGTCATTGCTTGCGATCCAGGAGTTTGTTTTAAAAAATAACTCGCTTGCTAAAATTATGAACGTACATGTGTTTGCATGTAGCTTTATATCTTGACGGACAAATCTGATGAACGTACGACTGTTCTAGCGACACATACGTTGAGCTTGCAAAATAATAGTATCCAGTGATTTGTGAACTTTCAGGGTTTTTGTAAGCAGTGTCCAATCGTGCAGTCTAAATTGGACCATGTTTGATCAAACCCAGTCCATTGAGGCCAATCATTCTGATGCACTCAAGTAATAAACCTATACGCATTTATTGGAGCCTATATTCACCATATAGCCTACTTCACATTTAAAAGTTTCGTTGTCAGCTTCAAATTGCATCATTAAAGACTACACGGCCACGCTCCGAATGTTCCCATAATGTATTTAACCCAAAAGCGCGTACAAACAGGCATCAATGAGCTGATAATGTCGGGTGGATAGCTCTGGTCTTCACTAGGGCAATAGCAACACCTCCAATGTTCGCTTGCGAACCGTTGCAGATGAAGAAGGCGAGACTTTGATATAAAAGAAAGCCGTACTAATCATGAGTTGTCTATGGAAATCGATACAGATGGAGAAGGCGAGGGTGTTGATAAGGAACACCATAACAATCTTGAACAGTCTATGGAAACCGATCCAGACGAAACAAACCAGCTCCCAAGTTCATGCCTAAGAAGGTACAGATATGCTGAGGCGACCTCGGAGGTACCGGCACCTTCGATATAACGGATCTTAGTGAAGGGCAGCGATACATACAACTACAATACAATACCTACGATGAGACCAAGTTTCGCCACAGAGTATTTAGTATTCTGTGGCAAAACATTAAAAATCGAAGGCCTTGATGTACGTGATGTCATCGCTTGTATTTACACTGTACAGAGTGACTGCTAATATTTAAATATATTTATATATAGAAACGTCTATTTTGTACAGATATACAGTAAATATACATATGTACAGAGGTCTGAGAGAGTATTTCTATTTACTACAAAATTGTCCAAAAAAAAAGGCGCAATGGCGCTTCAGCCAGCTTACGTTCGATAAACCCTAGAATTCTATGTCCACCCCATATTTTGTCTAGTTGCATCGGCTCTGTGGTTAAAAAGCTTTCACAATTCCATTCAAAATGCAATTTATTCATTTATTTACCAAATAACCCACTAAGCTAAACAAATACGTCCGTCTCGATCGTTGTCCAATATTTCTGTTCAGCAAACCTCTTCGTGGATAAAAATGAAATCAACAAGAAGGTTCAGTAGTGACATGTGTATAAAATACGTCAATGCTCTTGTCAATCTGCATTCGATTGGAAGCCTATTTGCCAGTAGTACTCGATTGGGAGACTGTTGTTACTAACCTGCTACATTAGTCTCATAGGCTAAGCTAAGATGAGAACAACTGGTAACGCATCTCTCCCTGGGGCAGTATGTTGTTTGTGCGAACTGCCGGCAAAGCAGTCATGCGCGTGCAACGATCGCCTATATTCGTCTGACCTATGTCAGGTATGCTGAAGTATGTAAAGTATAGACTGGCTTAAAAACGCGTTTCGGCATGTTTACTGAAAAGGGAAAACTCATATATATAAAT